GAGAGAGAGAGAGAGAGAGAGAGAGAGAGAGAGAGAGAGAGAGAGAGAGAGAGAGAGGCAGCTCAGTCACACTTAAATCCAGATCCGTCCTCACCGAGTCCCACCACCAAGGGGGCGCCAGCAAGGAGATGCACATATGGGGATCCCCACGCAGTGAATATTTTTTGTGCGGGAAGATGTTGAGCAGCTTCTTGAAGATATCTCTGAGGACGCGTCAGTAGCTGTAAAAGGTGCATCAAAAGAAACCCATGCCAGCTGGAGTGACTGGTGCAAGACCGCTAGCATGGGAGGTGCGCGGGGCCTTCACAAGGTCACGAAGGTTCGGGGCGTCGTTTCCCCCCACGGTTGTCCATGGCCCTAAAGGCCCCAGCGCGGACCCCCATAGTGCAGCGCCGCATGAGCTGCAGATCTATCGCAAGCACTGGCGAGCGACCGCCGCCCCACCGAGTGCATGGATCCCAGATCGGCCCAGCTTTCCTAGGGCCGACCCTGGGGAAGTACGCAGAGTGATTCAGAGCTTTTCCGAGACGACGGCTAGGTCCTTGGATCAGTTTCATCCACGGCATTTCCTGCTACTCGATGATGAAGGCTTAGACCTTTTAGCAGCCCTGCGGCAGCGCTGCGAGGCGATCGGCCTCTCACCCAAACAGTTGTTGTGGGTACTAATGCCAATGCTGCCGGAACCATCGACAGGACACAGGTTAATCGTACTTTATAGCGGTATGTACCGCATCTGGCAGAGGCTGCGGCGGCCTATGCTAGGTGCCCTATTGGAGGAGGTGGAGCGCGGGTACTGGGGGGCGAGTCGGGGGAGGAGTTCGGTGGATTGTGCGTGGGCACGAGCGGCAAGAGCGGAGGCCGATGTGGCCTCCAACCGCTTCAGTGTACTCCTAATTGCAGATTATAGTAAGTACTATGAGACGATCCCCCTTCTCGAGCTTCGGGATAAGTTTCTCGAATTCAAGATGCCCGCGGCATTTTTGAAACTCGTTTTCCATGTGTGGAGGGCTCCTCGGGTGTTGCGTCTCAGGCAGCATCACTCTGACGGGGTCGCCCACGCTGATTTCGGTTTACCCGCTGGGGATTGATTCAATGCTATCAGCATAAAAGTGCATGCAGCTAAAGCGTTTGATGAATTTGTTGCAAGTCAGCCTCCTCTTGTTCGTTTCACGTCTTATATAGACGACTCGGGCATGCAGGTATCCAGCTCCCAGGGGGAGAGCGCAGTGCAACTGGCCATCTCTGCGGACCGTGCTTTTTATCACACGAGAAAGCAGACCAATGCGGTGATCAATGATAAGGTCGCCGTTGTCGCCAGCGAGGTTTCACTTGCACGGGGCGTCGTGCGAGGCCCAGGGCTCGAGCCCAAGGTCGCGAAGCATTCAGTCACTTATCTCGGAGTTGATGACAGTGCTGGTGCTAAGCGTTCGCCTGCCCGTGTGCCTGTAAAACAACGGCCCCGTCTCTGGGGAATGAAGCTGGGAGTGAAAAAGACTGGCAGGTTTAAGTCTAGAGCTCCCAACAAGGAGGCCAAGAGAGGTTTGTCTCAGGTCCTTCGCACGGGTGTTGCCCCTGCGCCGTCGTACGGCTCTGAGGTCTCAGGGTTCTCGGAGGCTGGGCTCAACACTGTGCGAAGGACGCAAGCTCGAAGGTTGCCCCCCTCTCATGGAGGGGCAAGTGCGACTGCAAAGCTGGTGCTGCATGGAGAGTGGGACACCCGAGCAGCAGTTGGACCTGTCCTTCAGTGGTGTCGAATGCTTTTTAGGATTCCCAGGTCAATCCCACTCGATCCCTGATTCCCTTCCAGGAGCTGCTCCAACTTTGGGGGCAGGCCAAGGCCAGCGACGCTGGCGATTGGAGATCCAGCCGTGGCCCCTTGTCTCGCGCCACGTTATCGGCTCGTCGGGCTGGCTGGAAAGTGGTGTCAGGGACGCAGTGGGTAGACCATTGGGGGTGCACTGTAGATTTAAGTAAGATCCCGCCTCGCCTCCTCCTCGACCTTCTGAGAGAAGGTTTGCAACGAGAGGCTGACTTTCGTTTTGCACGCAGACTTGGACAGGTGCAGGGCACGCGTGCTACGTTCGACCTTGTGCGCAATTGCATGTGTACGCGTAGTAAGCATCACACTCGCCAGCAACAGTTCCTCCTTGTGTCCTGCGTCACGGATGCGATTTGGACTGGGGCTCGTGCGCGCGATGCTGGTTACTTAACCGATGGCATGTGCGTGTGCGGCCAGCGTGACACGTTGCACCATCGGCTGTGCACCTGCGAGCGACCAAGGGTTTTGGAGGCCCGACGAGAGCTTGAGATCCCGCCGGGAATTTTAGGAGGAGGGGGCACACAGCGATGATCATGTGTTCAACCGTGGGCTTTTCACGTTTTCTGTTGATGATGTGCCCCCTCCTGCCTCGCACTCCCATTGTGACATTGCTGACGGCGCAGGAGCCGATTTGAATATGCAGCCTGAGGATCTTGCGGCGCTCGCAGGAGACGTGGAGCAACTGGAAATGGCGTCGGACGGGAGCTGCACGCAGCAGGCCCTTCGCTGCCTCCATCGAGCTTCGTGGGCGATCGCGCTCATGGAGCCAGGCACTGCGTCTCTCTTAGCTGTCCTCAGGGGTATTGTGCCTGGCGGTCTCTCCCGAACCCCTGCGATGGCTGAACATGCGGGGGCGGCCTTAGTCGGGCAGGTAGCCGATCGTCCCACTTCCCTGGCCCTGGATTGTAAAGCTGTGATTTGTCAGACCCAGAGGCCTCTGTGGAAGCAACCAGCTGGCTCTAATAAACATGCTGGTGCGAGGCGTTTTGCCCATGAGCTAGCAGCTAGCAGGAACGGGGTTCCTGTCGACCTTTCATGTAAAGGCCCATCGTGAGATGTCTGCTCTCGAGGAGTTAGAAGGCGCAGATCGTAGATTTGGGTTCGCGAATCGTGCTGTGGACCAGCACGCGAAGCAGGCCCTTGAGGGCCACCCGCGGCCCCTGCCCACTTTTTTGGACCGTGCAGATTTGTATCAAACGCGAGCTGATGTGTTCATAATGCTTGCTACTGCACTTTTACCCCTCTTTAAAAACGAAGTGCGTTGGAAGAGGGTTGCTTTCAACACCCAGGGGAGAAGCCGCCAGCAGAAGACGTGGCACCTCTGGAGGCGAACCGAAATTGGGATGCAGTTTAGGTATTGTTGGACGGTGTGTGATCGACCCGATAGGCCCATGTTCGGTTGCAGGGGTCCGCCTCCTGCTCTCCAGAAGCTGCTGTGTGACCCCCTGGGGCATCAGCTCGTCGCCGTGTCGGGCTCGGCTCTTGTGGCTCCGCGGTCGGAGGCTGTCCTGGGGCCCTGTAGAGCAGCAGATTCTGTGTTTAAAATGCGGGGGTTGGTCTCAAGGGAGAGCCGTGAAGCTCGCTGAGGTCTGTGGCAAGCCTACGCGTAAGGGACTGGATGTCCTCAGCCGTTTCAGGCGGGGGCTTGGCCCTGACACAAAGATTCGTGAAGTGCTGGACAAGGCGTTGCCTGTTGCACAGTTAGATGTTGCCTGCGATACGTACGATAAGCCCGAGCTGAGTGTTACCTCAGTCCCGCGAGCGTGTTCGGACTCTCCCTCGGCCCCCTCGTATGAGCAGCGTATGGCGGCTCTTGCTGCCAGGATTAAAGCTAAAGAAGAGGCAAGGGCCTCTGGGGCGGTTTAACTCGCGTCGATCCCCCCACAAGCTGTTGGTGCTGTCACCTCCCGACCTTTCAAGGCGCTGTCCATCCATCCATCCTCCTCCTCCTCCTCCTCCTCCTCCTCCTCCCCTTCTCGTCGTCATCAGCAGCATCATCATCATCGGCACCACCACCATCAACAGCAACAGCATCATCGTGACCATCCACATCATCATCAACATCATCATAATCAGTATCAACATCATCATCAGCATCAGTATCATCAGCATCAGCAGCAGCATCAGCAGCATCATAATCATCAGCATCAGCAGCATCATCAGCACCATCATCATCATCATCATCAACATCATCATCACCACCATCGTCAGCATCATGGATAATGTCATTACCATCCTCCTCATCATCATCAGCATCAGTATCGTCATCATCACCACCACCATCAGCATTAGCATCATCCTCATCCACACCATCAGCATCATCAAAATCAGCATCTGCATCATCATCATCACCATCATCAGCATCATCAGCAGCATCATCAGCATCAGCATCAGTATCAGCATCATCACCATCATCATCATCATCATCATCATCATCATCATCATCATCATCATCAGCATGAGCGTCATCAGCATCATCACCTGCGTCATCCTCGTCATCGTCATCATCATCATCATCATCAACATCATCATCATCACCGCCATCATCACCGCCGTTACCATCACCCCCAATCGCCCGCGCACCCTCCCCGAGACGCCCGAGCAGAAGGCGTGAGGGGTCCTCGCGCGGGTGCCCCGACTCGCCCCCGGGACCGGACAAGGGACGCTGGCGCCTGGCTGCGGGCAGGCGTGTGCTATGGGCCCACCGTGGGCTCTGAGGTATGCGTGGGAACCCGCGGAGAGGGTTCGAGTCTCACACGCTCCAACTCTCCTCCTCCTCCTCCTCCTCCTCCTCCTCCTCCTCCTCCTCCTCTTCCTTCTCATCTTCCTCCTCCTGCGCCTCCTCCTCCTAATCCTTCTCCTCGTCCCGCTTCTCATCATCTCGCCTCCTTCCCCTCCTCCTCCTCCTCATCTTCCTCCCCCTCCTCCTCCTCAGCCTCCTCCTCCTGCTCATCTCCCTCGACAAGCCTCCAGCCTCATTTCCGCGGCAGCCACGCGCACGGTCCCAGGCTCAGTGTCCATTCCTCCTCCGGCTCCTCCTCCTTCTCCTCCTCGCACCAGTCTATCCCTTGCCCGCCGCACCTGCTCCTCCTCGTCCCTTTCATGTCCCTCATCCTTCTCTCCCCTCCTCCTCCTCCTCCTCCTCCTCCTCCTCCTCCTCCTCCTCCTCCTCCTCCTCCTCCTCCTCCGTGCATCCCCAGGACAGCGGCGTCACCTGGCACCGCGGGCCACATCAGCAGCTTGTTGGACATCCCCCTCCAGGGCCACGCTGCGACGTCACTGGCACGGCTTCTCGCATAATTCACGAGACACCAAATCAGGGCGGGGAAAACATCGCCATGCCGTTGCCACGATGCGACGGTTCGTGGCGCCACTGATGTTGCCTTGTCCTCTGTGCGTCCGCATGCATCACCCGGTGCTCTTTCACTGCGTCTCCACTCCAGGTAGATGTAAGAGACCTTGCACAGCCCCTACGGGCGGCTTGCACATAAGCGCGACGTGTTCGGGCTCCGTAAACTGTACAAGCACAGCCCACAGCAGGTACTGACGACTTTCTCGACAGCGCCGCGAAACTTCTTGATTCTAGTGGAGCGCATAATTTCAGAAATGACTTGCGGACCACGCCGACGCATGTTCCGAGCAAATCCAGATGAACGTGTCGGCCCTCGAGTGCCCTGCACCCCCCCCTGCAGAACCCTGGCTCTTTCCACAGCGTGGCACTCCCACTGCCCGCAACACCCTATCCCAGAGTCCGTCATGCCCAACCGCTCCCGCGTCCGTCCCGCGCCTGAAGACGAAAGCAAAACAGGTAGCGTCGTATCCATCACCGTGCCGCTGGGCACGAAGTGGGCGTCTCCTCGGGTCCTGGGCCCACTCTCTATGCCTCAGCCCCCACTCTTGAGGAGTCTTTCGGGGGGCCGGACTTGGCGCGTCTCGTCGTGGGCTTGTCGCACTTCTCGCGTGACTTGTTCGGGCCCAGAGGGCCCCAAAAGGCTCCCAAGACGGGCCAAGAGGGCCCCGAGTCGCCGAACGATCGGTCCAAGACGCCCAAGATGTAAGACTGCCCGAGAGGCCTCCAAGACGCCCAAAGATGCCTCCAAAATTCCTCCCGAGAGGCAAACATCATTGATGTTCCTGAGGTTTGTGCTGGATTTACGCGTGCTCGCCTTTACGGCTTTCCGACGCTCCACGACGACCCACGAGGCTCCCACGATCGCCCCAAGACGGCCCTAGAGGCCCCCAAGAGGGCCCCAAGAAGGCCCAAGAAGGCCCAAAGACGGCCCAAGAGGCGCTTAAGATGGCCCAAGGTGGCCCAGGTTTGGAACCCGACCGGACATTTCGAGCCCTCGGCCTCGAAGGCCCCCCAGGAGGCCCCAAGAGGCTTTTCCGCTGTTCCCCATAGAGTTCCCTAAAGTCTTTGATCAACGATTTGGCATTTCCGCTTTTCCTGCTTTTCGACGGCCGGAGACGGCCCAAGAGAAAGCCCCCCCAAGATCGCCCCAAGATCGCCTAAAAGGCATCCAAAATGGCCCACAACGGCCCTAGAGGCTCCCAAGACGGACCCAATAGGGCCCCAAGACGGCCCAATAGACCCCCAAGACGCCCAAGATGGACTCCAGGACGGCCCTGGAGCACACCAAGAGGGCCCCGAGTCGGTCCAGAGAGGCCACAAAGACGGCTTCCGACAGCGTCAGGCGGGCCAGGAACGCCCCAAGACGGGCAAAGAGGCCCCCGAGAAGCCTCCAAAGGCCTCCAAGAGGCCCAAGGAAGCCCCCAAGATGCCTCCAAGAGGCTCCCAGGAAGCTCCCAGGAGGCCCCAAGAGTGCCCCCAGAGGCTCCCAAGACGCTCCCTCCTCCTCCTCCTCCTCCTCCTCCTCCTCCTCCTGATCTTTTTCGCCATCCTCCCCCTAGTGTTCCCCGAAGGGTTTCCACAATGGCTGGGGGAACGCATGGTGGTCAGATAGCCTGACAGAGCTCTTACCACAACGCTCGGCCACATGGGCGATTCCAAAAGGCAACGGGCGGCGGTGCTTCGCCGTATGCGTCTTCGATGCCCGTACACCCATGCGCGTTTCCCTCGATCACGATCCTGAGCATGTTCCTCCATCTCATGATTCTGCTGCTGCTGCTCCTCCTCCTCCTCATCATCATCAGCATGATCATCATCAGCATCAGCAGCAGCATCATCATCATCAGTATCAGCATCATCATCATCATCATCAGCATCATCATCATCAGCATCATCATCATCATCATCTGCATCAGCATCATAATCATCATCGTCAGTAGCAGCATCATCATTATGAATAGCATCATCAGCATCAGCACCAACATCATCACCAACATCAGCATCATTATCCTCATCATCATCAGCACCGTCATCGTCATCATCATCAGCATCTGCATCATCATCAGCATCGACATCAGCATCACCAACACAACCATCATCATCATCAGCATCTGCACCAGCATCATCATCACCAACACCATCATCAGCATCAGCAGCATCATCATCAGCAACATCATCACTATCATCATCATCATCATCAACACGGTCCGCATCTTGTTATGCCTGCCCCTTCCTTTGCCTCCTGCACCAATGGGTGGCGAGAACTGATATGTCAGAGGGGACCGTCGGGTATACGTTGTGAAACCTGTATCTGCGCGTGTGCATGTCTGGGTAGGGGCTTCGGTGTCTGCCCAGGGGTTCGTGCGCGTCGTTGGGTGTGGCACGGCCCCTCGGGCGTGGCCAAAACGTTCCAACCCGATGTTCTTCCTCTTGCTCTGCGCCTCCTCGTCACATCCCCCCACTCTCTTGCTGATAGCCCCGTTTTGCCTGCTGCGCCTGCTCCTGCTGCTCTTGCCGCCCCTGCCGCCCCCTCCTTCCTGGCAATGTCCCACCTCCCTCGTTCACGTTCGAAAGATCCTCCCGGAAGCAACACGGGTGGGAGAGAGCTGGCGCGACAACGCCGAGAAGACGGCACCCGTACCTGCCGTTCACATCGGAAAGCAAGGGCTACCAGCTACTGCATTCGCGCTTCGCGCTGCGCGAATTGCAAACAACGCCGCGCTCTCGCGCTGCCCCCCCGTGGGACAAGAGGAGGACGAGGGATGATGAGGACGAGGGATCACGAGGACGAGGGAGAAGGCCCAGACCGCAAACTACGAAGTGCGAACAACTTCGCGCCCTCGTGAGCCTTTGAAGCGTGGCAAGGCGCCGTCAATCTCCTCGAACATCGGCCCTCCGACCCGCACAAATGGCGCTTGGCCCTGTCCAGCCGTGCAAGCCAAGGCCTGTAGTAAACATGCCCAAGGAAAGGATCGAGCAGGGCACAACTAGTTCGTACACGCTCTGAACTGTTTGGTAAAGGCCAGCTACGGGGGTCGGGGTGTTTTCTTTCGTCCCCTCGGAGAAGAAAGAGGGCTTCGAAAACAACTGGACGGGCGCAGAGGGGTCGGAGAAAACAGCGCCGTGCACGTCGGGGTGCATTAGCAATTGAAAACTGGGCGCTTAAAAAAGAAAACGCCTGAAACAACGAGCCGCGAGCCGACTTCCCATGAAGTGGGCTCAACGCGCAGTTGGTCCAATTAGAGCCTACGGAACAGAGAGGCGATTAAAGAGAAGCAAGACATGGCATTCATAGAATCTTGCGGAGGTCTGCGCGGACTTCTTGGATCAGCGCTGAGCCCCCTCCCTGGCGCGCTCAGCGCGCCGAGGTAGGCGCCGGAGACGCCGCCAGGGCGTCCAGCGCAGATCCGAGAAAACAACGCGGAACTCCGAATCATTATGATATGCCGCTGCTCCTTCTTCCAGATGATGATGCATTGACGCTGTGCGGCTGGCTCGCCCTGGCGCACCTTTCGGCGCCAGAGACAGCGGAGGCGGTCCGACGGCCGCCCGCGCCGCCAAGCCAATTCTGAGCCTGCACGGGTCGATTCAGGCGCGGGTGAAGATCCTCTTTGCCACCATGGCACCCTTCGAGGTCGAGCACTCGCACACGAGCTCCTCGGCCAACAGGGAAAGGGAGCAGGCAGCGGGGCGCTCTTGTCAACATCTAGTGTCTACATCCCCATGGCGATTTCCCTACCTCTTTCTCATGTGCCCCTCCTCCTCAACACCCCTCCTGTTCCCTCCTCCTTTTTCTGCTTCTCCCACCACAAAACTGATGCTTCCCTTCCAACCCTCGCTGCATCTCTCTCTCTCTCTCTCCCACGTCTTGCTCGTTTGCTTACCTCTTCTTCCCCCTGGTTCCTGCCCCTCTTCAAAATTGCCTCCTTCTCTTCTCATGCTCCCGTCCCACCCGCTGGGGGGTTCGAAAGGAGATTGCTGCAGAGTGATTTGGTTCAGCCCGCTCTGTTGAACCTCCGTTTTCAGCCCTTGGAAAAGGGGGTCAAGTGGAAGCGGGCTGGCACAATTTCTTTTGCCCTCAAAAACCGTACGCCCCGACATCCGACATGACAAACGCGAAAAACTCACGGCCGAGCTGGACCGGTCTGTGAAAGTGCCGTTGCCCGAAATGGGGTCCAAAACGCTGGTCGCGGTCTTTGCACGACGAGAGACTCTGAGGAGGAGGAGGAGGAGGAGGAGGAGGAGGCCGCGGGCCGCGCGCCGCTCGAAGGCAGCGCACGCAACCCATGGAGGGGTGGAAGGCACCATCGGGCGGGCGGCCCTGGCAGGGGGAGAAGAGGCCTGGAGAAGGGGGAGTGCCAGCATCGGAAGGGGGTGGGAGGGAGGAGCCTCGCTCGCTCTCGCCCATCCGGTTCGATCCACTGGAAGGTCAAGCGTTTTCGTGATTTGTTTTTTTGGGGGTCAAAACGACCGATTGCGTTTGACCCTCGACTTCGCGGCCCCGAAAAAAGAGTACCGTGCACTCGAAGAGTGGCAGATGACAAGGAGGAAGGAGGTCGAGCGTGCCCAAAGGGGGATGACAAGGAGGAAGGAGGAGGAGGAGGAGGAAGACTCCTGGCCAACGAGATACCTCCTCGTGGGCTGCATGGGGGACCCGCTGGGCTGCGAGCCGGACATGCACAGGCCGAGGCCCTCCCACCTGGCGGGCGAGACCGGCGAGGATGAGCCAGAGCCGCGCGCGCGACATGGGGTCCTGCTCAGGCCATCCACCTCCGCCTCCTCCGCCTCCGCCTCCTGGGTCTCCGCCTCCTCCTCCCTTCTCCTCCTCCTCTTCCTCCTCCTCTCCCTCCACCTCCATATCCCCCTTCTCCTCCTCCTGGGCCTCCTCTTCCTCCTCCTCCTGGGCCTCCTCCTCCTCCGCCTCCTCCTCCTCCTCTTCGTCCTCCTCCTGGGCCTTCTCCTTCTCCTCCGCGTCGTCCTCCTCATCGTGGGCCTCCTCCTCCTCTCCGCCTCCTCCTCGTGGGCCTCCTCCTCCTTTTCCTTTCCTCCTCTTCCTCCTCTTCCTCCTCATCCGCCTCCTCCGCCTCCTCCTCTTCCTGGGCCTCATCCTCCTCCTATTCCTCCTCCTCCATCTCCTCCTTCTCCTCTTCATCCCCCTCCTTTTCCTTTCCTCCTCTTCCTCCTCCGCCTCCTCCTCCTCCTGGGCCTCCTCCTCGTCCTCCTCCTCCTCCTCAGTCTCCTCATGGGCCTCCTGATCCTCCGTCTCATTCTCGTCCTTCTTATGGGCCTTCTCCTGCTTCTCCTCGTCCCAGGCCTTCGGGTTCGTCGTCACAGCGACCCGATCCGCCCCGAAACGTAGATTAGAACAGCCCCCGGGAAGTTCCAGATATCGGCCTGGAGGGGGTGGAGGGAGGCATGAGGAGGCAGGAGGAGGGGGAGGACAAGGAGGCGGAGCGAAGGGGGCTGCCTTCCAGGAGGCTCCCCCCCTCTCCTAAAAGCGGGAGGCGGCGTGTGGGCTTCAAGGGGCCGCTCGGATGCGAAACATTAGACAAGACGGCCCCGCGACGCCTTGAGCCCCGTGTGCTCGTCAGCAACCAGGAGTCGCCCAAGACAGGACCAAGGTGCTGACTCAATGTTAGCCGGAGAGCGCGCCAGCACCCGAAGGTCATCCCACAAGTCACAACACTGGGTGACTGAATGGGCATACATCACATGCGTTTTTCCCCCACACGCGTGCACGTAATAGAAGCATCGCGAGGGGATCGCACGCGCTGGACTTTCATCTGCAACATGTGCCTACTGCTATCCTGCTCCTCCAAGCCCTTATCCAAACGCTCCTGCGATTCTGACCCAGTTGCTTCAAGCTTGTATAAAGCACGATATGGAAAATCGCCCACGCATTCTTTCTGGACGGGCCTGTGGGATACGCTGAACGTCCAGAATGCAAGGCCCAAGGGGAGGCGCCCGCGAAAGTACGACCACTGATGGCCATGAGCCTTGCGAAAACCACCCCAAACTGACACGTGGACAAATTGCGGGCGTGGACCACGTACTCCACGGGGTGGTGTCCCCCATCGCTGCCTCTGGATTGCGGCAACCGTGCGCACAGATAACATCAGAAATGCCTCGAGATCTGACGGCCTGGAAATACGGATGGCTGAGTGCACCTTCTTTCGGAAGCGCTATGGGAAATTGGAGGCTAGCAATTCCTCGGTGGGGACAGCTCGGCAAAAACGCAATCAGCTCTTGAAGGACAAGGCTCGCCCCCGCCCCCGACCGCCCCCATCACCCCCCAACGCGGCGGCACATAAGCACGACAAGACATTTGGATAGAAAGGGTCTCGAGTCAGAGTGGTTCTTCGGGCAAAAGTGTTGGAGTAGCCAAGACGGCCATGGACTTGTTCGTGCAAGGTGTTCCGTGGCAAATGACCAACAGCAGGAACACACTATAGCCCAAAGCCCTGCGAGGCGAGGGCCCTGGCCGTGGACGTGTATACAATGTCGCCCAGAATGGCCCCTATCAGTGATTTCCTAATCCTACGTGGTGCAAACAAGGTGTTGCAACGAATTGCTGTCCGCAATGAATTGTCCACTCCACTGCTCGCACAAACATCCCGCCCACCCACCCGCAATTTCGCCTGCAAACCTCATGCGGCGGCGATTGCGATGAGCGCTTGGCGCTGGCTGGTGCATTTATGCGGCCGCGCCAGCCCGCGCATGCGCGAGCGCAGCGGACAGGTAGTTTGGCGCGACCGACGCGGCCGCGGTGGCGCTGACCGCTCGGCACATCCCAGCGGGCACTTGAGTGCGAGTCGGCGACTTGAGCGGGCGCGGTATCATGGCAACGTCGACAATGATAGACAGAATAGTGATGATGATAGCGGCGATGTTGGAGACGATGCTGACAGCAACGGCGGCACGGCCAGTGACGACGCCGATGCCGATCGCGCGGCAGACGCGCGAGAGTGACTCGCATGGTATGATTTGACACGGATCGTGCCATCCAAGCGCGCGCGTAAAGGCCTTCAACCGGTTTGGACATGCGCGCACGAAACCCGTTTGGTAGCGTTGTATACAAATCGTTGTTTCAAAATGCTCAAAACATGTCGTAAAAATCCGCAAGACCGCGCGCGCACGCTTGCGTTGAAAATCCGTGTTGCGAAACCCAGTGTTTTTTTTTTGTGAAGCCCAAAATGCGTTTTGGACACTCGATTTTGACATCCTTCCGAAACCGAAGGTTGTTGAAGGATTTCCGTATGCGCGCGCGACAACGAGCGCGCGCAGTTCGTCTCATTTGTTGCAAAGGATTCTCGCGACGGCATGCGTGCAAAGGCGTCCGAACGATTTCGACATGCGCGCGCGAAGCCCGTTCTGTAGTATGTTCTGAAAATGTTGAACAACCTACGTTTACCCTTAAGAATTCGCAAGAGCGCGCATGGTTATATATACATATATATGTATACACCGTGTTGCGAAACCCCATGTGTTTGCATGTTTTTGGGGCACTCGATTTTGAAATCCTTCCGACACCGAAGCTTCTGAAGGATTTCGGCATGCGCGCGCGACGACGCGCGCGTGTGCACTTCGTTAAAACGTTTGCAGGGAATTCTTGAAAACTTATGAGCTTTGATGAATGGAATCGCGAGCATAGCTTTTTTTGTAGAGGATGGCGGGGGGGGGCGATACCGGCCTACCTGGGATATTATGCATTCACAGGGAGGATGGATAGTGGGTCAGAATCAGATGTAAATTGCAAAACGAAAAAATAAATGTTCAAGTCCTGGGGGGGGAAGGTGGTAGAACCTATCTTTTTCAGAAAGGGGGATCGAAGTGGTTCAATCCGCGTGGTGCTGCGAAGCCATGAGTAGCAAAGCAATGCAAAGCAATTCGAATCAACGCAAAGCAATTCAAAGTAACGCATTGCAGCGCAACGAAGAAGCAAAGCAATGCGACGCCTCGGTTTTTCTTACAAGCGCCCTGGGCGTTTTGTTCACCGTTTTGCACTTCGGGCTCTTGAAACGTTGAAAGCGCTAAATAAAGGCTGCGTTTTTAAGCGTGTTTAGCTTTGTGTGTTTAGCGTTTTTGGGCCGAGCTCTCTCGCAGAGCTAAAAACGAACAAGAGAAACACGCTCCAACCACGGTCTAACACAGGCACGAAGCAGTCCCAGAGGCCCGATGGACCCCAGAGGGGCTATCGGCCATCGGGCCAGAAGGCCCGACGCCCCAGGAGGGGCTCCGAAGACGACGAACCGTCGGACTGAGAGAGCCGGAGGGCTGAGGACTTCACTCCCAGAGAAGGAACTGAGGACGTCGTAGAAGGCAGTATCTAAAAATGAACCAGCTGATCAAAAAAGCATAAAGCAACGTAGCTGAACACGCAGACTGAAATAATCGAATGTGTAGCGTGCTTAATGTCCTTGTTGGGACCTAGAAGCGATAAAACAATAAATTCCAGCACGCTGTGTTAAAAATATGTAAAACAATGCCCTGGGCACATCCAAGAATATCCAAGTTCGACGCGATGCATATGGCATAGCAATGCAAAGTAATAGGATCGCAACATGCCAGGCAACGCAATGCACAGCAATGCAAACCAATGCAAAGCAGGGCATAGCAATGCAACGCAATGAGCAGCGCCAGCATCGCACAATCACAATCGTGACCAAAAAAGGCGGCGACGGGCGGCCACAAGCGGGCCGGACAGACAACCGAGACCAGTTCCTTAGAAGAGAAGTGAGAGCCCCTGGGACCAAGCGTTGTAAGCAGAATCGTGACTGAGGACGGCGGCGACTGGCAGCGGCGGGCGGCCACAAGCTGGCCGGACCGACAACCAGGCCAAGTTCCTTAGAAGAGAATCCCTCCCTGGGGCGTGGTGAGTGTATACTGAGCGAGACTGGAGCGGGGAGGGTGCGGTATACAAACGAACTTGAGGCAAGCATGCGCCTTCCAGATGCATGCCATAATGCCCTTCACGTCTGATGAATTCCGAACCGACCTGGACGGCCTGCAGTCCAAGAGTACCCCCAAGACGGCCCTAAGATAGCACGGGACAGCCCCAAGACTGACTCGAAGCAGGCGGAGACAGGCAGACGACGTCTGCTAGACATTCGATAACTGCTGTACGACAACCCAAATACTCAAGAACCCTTCGTGGTGCTTTAGGACTGCAGTGATCTCACTCGCATAGCGTCTCAACGCGTTTCTCAGGCATCCAACAGGCCTCTAGGTAGCCGACGAATGCCAATTCACTGGCCAGAGGTGATGGCTACCCATATGCGTTTCACTGATATGTTGCCTTCCAACCTCATTGGCCGGAAATGGCTTCCGACAGGCAAGCTGGCGGTCCCCCAAGGGCCTCAAGGTGCCCTTGGTCGCCACAATTTTGGGTTTGAAAAGAGACGCGCACGGGTGCCAAGCAAGGCGTCGCATGTGTTGAGATCAAGTACTGCCTAGTTGTAGCTCACGCGACTTGTGTCAAATATGTAAGCCGCTGAAGCTGGGAGGTGCAGCAAATCGAATGGCGTGGAACAAACCGTCCGAAACACAAGCTCCGCGCAACAAAACATTGAGCCCACTGCCGGCCTCGGGCGCACCTCGACTGGCGTGCCGTCCTCGTTAGTCGTGCCCTGGACGCAGCCGTCAATGCGCACTGTCATGCGGTCGGTTTTGCCTGCGGCCACCGCAGAGGATGCAATCCCGAGAGGGGGCGGAGCCCTAATGACAAGGCAGATCGATTGTCAAATACTGAATCGTAGAGCCAACGGCCAGTGTAGATACATGTGACTGCGGTGCACATCATGTGCATGCAGTATGGCGCCTGGTACGCATAGAACACATGCCGATGCCGCACCGTGTAGAATGTTGATGCATGGCAGACGCATGCATGCGGCATGGCATATAGGTATATATATATATATATGTACACATGTATATATATATACATTGTATATACATAACATCACCTGAATGTCGCTGGGGAGGCGCTATCCACTTCCGTCCCTGGGTTGATGCAACGGTCACCAGGTCGGGTCTTGAAAATTATCTCCAACTGGTCGCCGTCCTGCTTGATCTCGTGCCTGGCAAAGAGAGCGGCCTCTCTCCAGTCCAAGTTTCCCCTCCTTCCCGAAACGCAGTTCGAATATAGTCCCAGCAAGTCCGCTGAGAGGCAGCAAGCCTTATTCTGAATTGTACCAGGTGCCAACACTGAAACGACTTTGGAAGAAGCCCGCCCCCCCCCCCCCCCATCCGTGAACGAAAACTAATCCCCGTAAACATGAGCGCACAATCAACAGCACAATCGGGCCGGGGACCCATTGCACGCTGTTCGGTGAAACGCCTTCGATCTGGAGTTGTTCCTCTTCAACACGTTTCGCACTCGTGTAATGCCGCCTCTTGTTGGTACCGCGTTTACCTTGATAAATAACAGCTCCAGCGGCACGCCTGTTTTTCCCCACATCCAAAGTGGGGTTCTTGTTGGCAACATCTGGGGTGGCTCATTGTTATCTCTGCACACCCCGTGCGCATGATCTCCTCTCCCACCCACCCTTCCTCACCATCACCATCACCATCATCGTCACGGTCAGCACCACCAACATCATCATCGCACACACCATGGTCTCAAACATCGTATCACTACACCTTGTTCGCACACTCGCCATCATCATCCTCGTCATCATCACCACACCACCATCGCCAATCACCGCACCATCTGTCACAGTGACCATTCATCTCGCTCGCACTCACACACTCATCTTGTTTGGCTGCCGGTGGCGCAGCATGTCCATGGGGTCCTGCATCTGCCTTCGGTATTGAATGCGGCGCTGGGTTACCGCTGCATTTCCGTGGGTTCTGTGGGCCTTGGGCGCGTGGCTGCGGGCTCCTCGCTGCCAGCGATGCGTATGGCAGTTGCATTCGCCCTCGGCGTTGGGTTTCGCCGTTGGTGTCGCCCGCGCTGAAGCGATTGCATCATTCATCGACGCAGCCGCCTCTGGCGTGACCTTCGAACGGCTGGAGGGGGAGCGCCACGTGGGTGGGCCTGGCACCCCCTCGCTACGATGCGCGGGCATGACTGCGGCAACATCCGCATGGCGGGCGCCGGGGGTTCCCTGGGGGAGCCCTAGGGGTCCGGAATCGCGCCACGGGGCGCCCGCAGCGCCCTGGGCCGTGGGCGGCAGCTAATTCACCGTAGCGGGCGCCCGAAGTGCCCTGGAAGCGCCTTGAAGCGCCCTGGGTGCCCCTGGGATGCTTGTGGAAGCGCCCTGGGCGCCCTGGCAGAGCCCTGAGACGCCTTGGCGGGGGCGGACCTGGGAACGTCTTGGGAGCGCTCTGGGACGGCTCCGGGAGCGCCCTCGGGGAGGTCCCGGTAGGCCCCCAAGGCTCCGGGAGGCCCCAGGAGGCTCCAGCAGGAGGCAACAGCAGACCCCAGAAGGCCCAGGAAAAGGCAGCAGGCCCAAGAAGAGAGCAGTTCTTGCTCAGCGCGCGAACCATGCTGTACTAAGGGCTGGCCGCGCGGACATCGCCCGCGACATGCACACAATTAAACATAGGCCCGCGACGTGGTACGGCGAAGCGCGGTCGTGCCCTTGGAAGCGTGCAAGGAAGTGGCGGAGTACATTATGGAGAGGATGCGGGTGAGGGAGCAAGGGAGGCTAACCGTGATCGTCCCCATCACTGCCCCGAGTTCTGCGTCACGGCCACCGCCCCCGAACGGCTGAGGCGTGGGCCAGGGCACCCTAGGGCGGCACCCGTCCGCGGGTCACATGCCTCCGAGTCAGAACCGCACGCCGGACAGAAAATAAAGGGCAAAGTCTGTGCCGGCGGTCTTTCGCCGTGCAGCGCGGAGGCAGGCTGGAGGCGACGAGGGAATGCGTGATTTGGACTGCGTGAAGCATGGGCGCCCGTCAGGGCGGGCCCACCCGTCGCGAGCGCCAACATGACCGCATGGACTCCGGGCCAGCGCAACGGGGTGGCGGGTGGCACCCCGAAAGGGCGCCCCAGGGGGGCAGACGCTTGGAGCTCACTCTGGTGCAAGCGGCGCGCGGCTCTTCGATCACACTCACTCTTTCTCGCAGTCTCATGGTACTTCCCAGCGCAAGCCCCTGCCAATGATCCCAGGAAATAGCCCTGAGGCGGCATGCCGCCGGGTAGGCAGGATACCATGTATCCAGGGTAGGCTGTCAATCACAGCCATTCGACTGCGGTGGGGCCCGCAAGCCCAGAACCGCGGATAGGCCGGTACGGACCAGCCGAGCTATACGATAGCGGATGGGTCGGTGACCCCAGGAAAGTGGATGGACGGCACGTCCTCGAGACGAGGGGGGTCCTCCCCAAGACTTTGGGGCCCTCCCTGGAGCACGCAGCGCGCGACTCTCCTCTCGCGCACTCAACCGTGCACCCCCAGGGTACTTCCCAACGCAGCCACCTGCCTATGATCCCAGAGGAGCGGTCTAGAGGCGGCATTCCGCCGGACGGGCCAGATAAGCTCTGACTCTAACCCGCGGATGCACTGGACAGGCCATGTAAGCTGTCACTCGCGGGTAGGCGGTCACTGCCGCCTCCGTACTGCCCAGCGATAGCGGAGGAACGGGCATGCCCAAAACCACGGACAGGCCAGCACGGCTCAGCAGAGCCATACGATAGCTGATGGGCCCGCACGCCCCCCGATAAAGAGGGAGGGCGGCACGTCCAAAAAACCACACCCCACGGGGGGAGGGAAGGGAGGGGGGGGGAGGGAGGAGGGGGGGAACGGGGACGTGGGCGGGAAGGGAAGGAGGGTGGTTGGGCGGCGCGCGGTCCACGCGGTGTTTCTTTTGTTGCAGACCAGGTGCCCCGCAGGCGTGGACGAAGGCCGCACACGCCAAACCCACGTACCAGATCTTGGCCGCGAGCTCCGAGGTATCCGCCATATCCGTGCCCGCCCCCACCGCCAAGGAGGGCGACGGGCACCAATCACGAAGGGCCGTGGGCCGCTGGGCCTCGGTAAACGGGCACTCCACGAGCAAGCGTTGCAGCCCCGCCTTCCCGCCGCGGTATAATGGACTCAACTCCGGCAATCGACCCGCCGGTATACCCCAGACCCCGGCAGGCACCTCAGCTGGAATTCGGGCCGCGCACCATGCCCTGTCTGTGGAAGCTGCATATGGTCTTGCCCCACGGGGCCAACTGCAGAGCTTCCGGCCACGCGCTGCTTAAAGGCAGCACTTCCGATAACGGCACAAGGCCTTCGTCGATGAGGAGGGCCAGTTGCTCGCAGAACCATGTTCGCTTCGCTCCCCGAATCTTCGGGATCACGCTGCGGCGCGCCCAAACACCGACGGCGGCGCGGCGGACATTAGGACCGCTCTCCGCCGCTGCGGCAAGAAATGGCTGAGGGGCTTCCACGCCAAACTTGCCCGCGACGGCCGCGGCGTGGTGCAGCCACGTGGCCCCTGGCTGGCCCATCGCTGCACAGATCGCCGGTGCAATCGGTACCCCCCAACGGCAGCAGTGGTATCCGTGCCCAAGCCAGAGGAATACGCTGCGCCACCTTCGCCGCCACCCTCGTCAGTATGCGGGTCTCCAAAAAGGCCCTCACGTACCCGCCCGTGCGCCCGTACCAGAAGATACGGAGAGGGGCAGCCCGAGAACACACTTTGCGACATCATAGTGCTCCCTGTTGAGTTGCGCCGCCACGAGGCCCCAGCCCCTGGCGTGGCTAGCCAGCAGCTCAGTTTCAAAGAATGCCGTCGACTCTGCGCCCCTGAACCGTGACAAAATCGTCGCGGCCGTCACGCACTGGGTGGTCGGCCGGTAGCACCAGGCCGCCGCGACTGCCTAACATTCTGGCGTGTTCCTGCCGCGGGAAGGGCCACACCCGCAGGGAGCGGCAGGAGTATCTGCCTACGGTCGTGACAAGCTGGCACGCGCCCACAACCCTGCGCACATCTTTGGGGTGCATGGCCGCACCACGCTGGGCCGCTGTCTGCCTCCGCGTTTCCCACGCGGAGACAGCGGGCATCGTCGGCAGCATCGTCGTCGGCAAGTCTAGCATGCCGCCCAAGGAGGAAGCAGAAGAAGGAGAGGGAGAAGGAGGCAGGATGAGGTGGAGGAAGAGGCGCAAGAGAAAGAGGAGGAGGAGGAGGAAGGAGGAGGGTTACCCGGAGAAGCCCCAGAAGGCTCCAGGAGGCCCCACAAGGCTCTAGGAGGTTCCAGGAAGTAACGGAGGCCCCAGGAGGCCCAGGAAAAAACAGGAGGGACCTTCGAACTGGGGACGTACGGGCTGCACAATTTCGCTGGCAGGTGTCCCTCATGCTAGGGGGGGGGGCGGACCGTACCACTCTGCTCCTCCTGCCCTGTGCGCAGCCCTGATGTGATGTGTTAACAGCCTATGTGTAGCACCCACACCCACGCTGGAGGTGTTTGGCCCTCTTCTGCACTCCCGTTGCCCGACCAGTCTGCTCCGCCCTTCCTCCTGTGAAGTCGTCCCTCTGGGCGCAGATGGATGAGGTCATCCACTGTCCACAACAATCATCTCTTCCCCTCCAAGGAGCCGTACGCGCTGTCCGCGGGGGCGATCGCAGGTATTGGAGCGTCCAAGATGGTCCTAAAATTTACCCGACGCGGAGATCACCACAAGTGCAGATCACCCTGGTACGTCTCGCTGAGGGACTCTGTTGACTATCTGGGTACGAGGGCGGGTTCGCGTAGACGACGGGGACGAGAGAGAATGCGACGACAACGACGACGGCCCTGAGACATCCCAAAAATATGGGAGCGAATCCTGGTGTCCTCACCCCTGGCGGATCCCCCTTGGGGTGCCCAAATGAAACGACTGCTACATCGCGGTCAGCAGTGGACCACCGACAGAGACAAGTCTGGCAGGACAAACACATGCAAACCACCTGTGACATGCAACAAGGAGAATCCCCACCAATGTCTCCTCATCCTTGGGGCGCCCAGATGCAAAACATTCTGTACCGCGGCGAGCACTGGAGCGCCAAAAGAGACAAGTCTGGGCAAGGCAGAAACACGCAAACCGCCTGAGAGATCCCCAATCTGGGCGCGAGTCCTGGAGTGTCCACCCCCCCATGGCGGATCC